AGTATTTGGAAACAGACGAGATAATGCATCCGCATGCGGCATTTTGGAACCAGGGCAATGTTTTAAAGTTATATTATACTTTTGAAGAGCGAACACCCATCGCTGTAATCGAGATGACTGAGGAGCACATTTCGTTAAATACGGTAAAGGGTTGTGGTCGGTGTAAAATTCTATTTCAGAGCCAAATATCAACGACTCAAATTTCTTTAATGACCACACAATAGCGTAAGCTTCTCGTTCTATAGTTGACCAGGCTTGTTGTGTTTTGGTCAATTTATGACTAGCGTAAGACACTGGGAAAGTTTTATCCCCTATTCGTTGAGAAAGACAGGCTCCTATTCCAATCTTTGATGCATCTGAGTAAATAATGTAAGGATTACCGGGCACTGGTGTGTAAAGTGATGGGGCTTCAGCAAGGGCTTGTTTGAGACGAGCGAACACAGAGTCATGCACTTCACTCCAGGGAATTTCTTCCGGCACTCGCTTTTTTGTCAATTCTGTTACAGGATACACTAATTCAGCATATTTCGGAATATAATCTCGGTAAAACCCACATAATCCAAGCACGCTTTGCAATTCTTTCTTAGTTTTGGGCCTTGGAAGTTGTTTAATGACTCGAACCTTTTCTGGATCGGGCTGGAGTTCACCTGACCCAATGATATGTCCCAAAAACTTGATACTTGGTTTAGCAAAAGAACATTTCTTCAGGTTAACATTTCTTCTAATCTTTTCAGAATCAACTCCAAATGTACTAGATGTTCTTCAAAACTATTAGAAAATATACCAATATCGTCTATATATGCTCGCGAAAACCTTTTAAACGGTGCTAGGGCCTTGTTCATGACTCTCTGAAACGTATTCCGGAGTCCAAACGGCATAACTCGAAATCTGTACTGAGAATTGTGAGTTTTAAAAGAAGTTAAATCATAACTTGCTTCCTCCATGGGAATAGCATAGTAACCTTTTAGCAGATCTAGGTTTGAGATTACATTAGCTTTCCCTATAGTATGTATTAACTCAGTAGTATCTTCCATTGGAAAATCGTCCGTTATAGTCCCAGCATTCAATGCTCGACAGTCGGTACACATCTGCATCCCTCCATCTTTTTTACTAACGCACACCACTGGATAAGCAATTTCAGCTGAACTCTCTTCTATTGAACCAGCACCTAAAAGCTCTTCTATTTGTTCATCTACTTTTCCTTTCAAAACATCCGGAATACGGTATATATAAGGTCTCTTCCTCTCACTGTTAAGTATGAGTCGAATCTTATGCTCTTCAACATTTGCTTTCTTTAATTTTCCAGTCATAAGTTCTTGATGTTTACTCAGCAAAGAAATTAATTTTCTTTTCTGATCATCACTCAAATGTTTTAAGTCCAATTGTGAATCAAACATAACTTTTCCAATGTTCGTTTCAGGAACTGTAATAACTTTACCAAATTCGTCCTCATTATCAAAAATCACTCCGATTGCATTAACTCTAGCATGAAATCTTCTTATCTTGTTTACATGTACTTGTTTTACTCTCCCATCTGGTAATTTTACCATGTAAGAATGTGGGGAACAGTGCTTGACAATTTCACCTGGACCAGTCCATCGGGCATATATTTTATCGGCAGAATCAGGGATTAAAAGTACTACCTGTTCACCGACACTGAAATTTCGTACTGAAGATCTTTTATTAAAATAGTCACTGTATGCTTTCTGTTTGTCAGCAGCCATCAATGAAGCACTTTCAGCAGCCTTTTCCAGTCTGACTTTCAGTTCTTGAAGATAGTCAACAGCTGACGGAGACAAAGTGGTGGGGATTCGAATCTCACCAGACCAAGATGATTTCAAGATAGACAATGGACCTCGGCTCGGGCCTCTCTACCATAGAGTAGCTTGAAAGGAGATACTCCAGTAGTGGTGTTTGGAACCTCTCGGTACGAGAATAGCAGAAACGGGAGTTGCAGGTCCCAATCTCTTGGATCTTCACGTATTACGTGATGCAACATATCTTTTAGTACTCGATTCCACCTTTCCACTAGTCCATTCGCAGCAGCATAACCCGGACAGGGGAATCTGGAACTCGAACCAATACGCTTTTGAAATTCTTGAGTTAGGGCAGACTTAAAATTAGTCCCCTGATCACTAGCTATAACGTTGGATATACCAGTTCTTGTAAAAATTGTAAGTAAAGCATCGAAAGTTGTTTTAGCAGATAGTGATTTTAACGGCACAGTTTCTGGCCAGCGAGTATTTTGATCAACAAGACAAAGTACATATTTGTGTCCTCTACTAGATGGTGGGTCTATAGGACCAATGACATTCACATTCACAATTTCGAAAGGAAGTTCGGGACGAACCACAGGAATTATGGGCGCTCTATCGCCAATTTTCTCAGCTTTTCTAAGTTGGCACCCTTCACAAGTTTGGACAAATTCCGTTATATCTTTCCTCATATTCGGCCAGTAAAAACTATATTTTATTCGCTCTTTAGTTTTCCTAACCCCCAAAAACGGATTCGTGTGCCAATTTTAAAACTTTATTTTGCCTACATTTTGGTAAAACTAACTGCATAACTGATTCATTAAGAATTTTATCCTTATGGTAAATTAATCCATCCATTAAAATAAAATTGCCTTTATTTTGTTTTAATTCCACGCGAATTTTTTCTAATGAAATACAATTAGTTTGCTCTTCTTTTAATTTATAATAATCAGAAAACAATTTAGAATCTTCATTTAAAATATTCGTCTCACTGCCATTCAATGAGCAACCGCTCTCTTCCCCCTCTGGCAAAATATCCTTTTCATTAATTTGTTGTAATAACACGTGTGCTGATTCTTTTTCCAACTCGTACCGACTTTCACTGCTTTCCCCCTCACAAGATTTCTCAAAATCTGACGAAATCAGTTTCTCATACAAAAACGGTGGTATCAACGCATCTACATTTAATTTATCTGTCAGTGCAATTATGCATTCTACAGGATAATTTAATGCAGAATCTCTATTTAATGAGACCATTGTTTTTATTAACTTAGCCTCAACATGCTCACCAAACGCCGAACTCAAAACAATCTTTCCATATTCCTCATCATCGGCGCCAGGAATCAAATTCGAATTACAAACAAAAATTTGAGTTCCAGAATCTATTACACATTTCAATTTCTTCCCCCCTCCCACATACACTGATACATACTTCAAAGGGTGAAGGTCAACAGATGGATAAAAATGTTCGGAGGAGATTTTTGCAATGACAGCATTTTCTTTAACTTTCATTTTATGCATCGCGGTTTCATGATCTAATGATTGATACAACTTATCGCTCACAATTAATTCTTTCAAAGTATTTAAATCCTGTACATTTCTTAATCTAGAATATTGTTCCAAACTCGTAGATAATCGAGATGCAAATTGTACATGAGTTTCGTTTGACATACGACGCGCTTTTTGAAAGTTTTGTAAACAAATTAGAGGTGTCGGTTCATACTCTTTTAAAATTGCACTTTTCAATTTCTCATAATCGTTTATTTCCTCATCTTTGATATAAACTAAAATGTTTATAGCTTTTTCTCCGAGGAGGTTTAATAAAATTTCCCCTTTAAATTCCTGAGGTACATTTTTGCTTCGAAAAGCTCGCTCTAAAGACGAAAAGAATAAATTCCAACAATCTGTTCTTTTCGGAATAGGTATAGTTAAAGCTCGTACACTTTGAATATAGTTTTCCGCTGATTTCGTCTGACTTGAGACTTCGCTTTCAGTACTACATTCTCTCGTACTCGCTAGTTTCGTTTTCTCAAAGTTTATTTTTTCTAGCTCAGCGTTTATTTTTGCTTTTTCTAGATTTATTTTTTTTTAATTCTATCTGCGCTTCCGCACTTAATCGAGAGCTGTCTATCTTAGCTCTTTCGAATTCAATTTTCGTTTGCTGTTCTTCTCGCGACTTTCGCTCCGCAATTATCGAATCAGCAAATTGTTCTACAAAATCTTTATCGTTTTTATAATGCGCATTATTTAGAATTAAATTTCTCAAATCAATTACGATCTCCTCTGCAATTAATTTAAGATCCTCTTTTTTAGCCCCTTTAAACATTTTTAAATTCTTATATTTCCAACTTTAAAATACAAACAATTTAAAACTTAAACACACGAAATATGTCCAAACAAGTGATTAAAGCAAAAAGAGTGCCTACCTCGTAGTCTTTAATGCTTTCGATTTATCCATGATCCTGTCGACTGCGCCAGTGTAACATTCCTTTATGAATATTATGTGGTTGGTTCTCATGAATAACTATCACTCATATGGACAACACTTTTTATTATTAACATGTATAAAAGTAATATGAAATAAATGGTAAGTTAGTGACATGATTTTATCTGACTTCGCAAGTCAGTTCCGAGAACGCTTCTCCTATTTTAATTAATTACTTTTTGGTGGTGAGTGTGCGAAGCGCCCTCTGGCGAAGATGTCCGCACACTACAAATACTATGACAATTTTATATTGCATTCAAACTATTGTATTGAAATCTGTTAAAACTTTCCGTCCTTAGCATATAGTAATTCAAAAATGAAGATTAGTATATTATTCATTTGCATTAAAGATTTTCTCTATTACACTGAAGTGGAACAAATTATAATTTTTGTGGCTTTTCATTTCCCCTTTTTAAAGTTGGTAGGTATATGTATACTTTTCCTAAAACTTTTTTTCTTTTTTTTTTTGAAAAATAATAGTTTGATTTTTTTTTCTTTGGCCTATTTCCAGGCCTGTTACTGTTAACTTTATTACTATGGTTCCAAAAGCATTAAGTGGGCATTAACAGTTTGTTTGTAAAAATTGTAAGGTTTTGTGAATTTAAATTCTGATATTTAATTATATAAATGTGAGATTTAAGTCATTGAATGTATATATTTTTTTTACCTGATGAAAAGAGAACATAATCTCGTTGATTTTTTTCCCTTCAAAGTTATTATTTACTTTACTCTAGTTTTTACATAATAATTCACATTTTTTGAACCCTAATTTTTAAATAATTAGTAGTTTATTTTTGACAAAATTAATTTTGCAAGTAATAGTAAACATGGTTCATTCATACATACATTATCAGTTTTTTTGGTAATTTCAGCCTCCTTTTCTTTCGCTGTAATATCATTCACAAAAACCCTACCCTGAATAAGTTGTTAGTAATGAAAATGTGTTAAAAATAATATATGAAAAATTTGAGGTTTAAACTTATTTTTTTACTATTAATTATTTTTTTATTTAAAAAACTTTTTTGTGCTCTTTCTATTTTTTTCCAGATTCAATTTCAACATAAAAGTGTTTGTTTTATTTTGAGGTATTGATAAAAAAATATTTTTTTAACTTGAAAATATAAACAAATTTCAGTTTATATTTTGTCATAAAAATGACTATAAATATATGACTTGAAATATTTTGTCATAAAAATGACTTTTCAGTAATTTATGGATTTCATATTTATATTTTTTCATCAAATTTTATTTCAAACTAAACTAGTTTCACCTTATTTTTCCTAAAAAACAATATGTTGTATCATTTAAAATAATTTCTAATGAAATTTTATACCAGTATCCTCATATCAAACCTACCTTTCTTCTCCAAATGATACATATGATATTATGTATATCATTTATATTTGTTGTCACTGACTTATAAAATTTCAAAAAGGACGTATCTTTAGACTTTCAAAGGTTCAAAAACTATTTGTTCAATATCATTAAAATCTTGCATTTTTTTAAAATTTGAATTTACACAATTTAAAAGGAAATAAAACTTTGCATTCTTTACAATTCAAACATTTTTCTACCATAAACAAAACTAAAATTATAAATAATTATAAATAATTATTAAAAATTACTTTTACTTGAACCAAATTTTATTATTGTGTGCAAAAGTTTTAGATTCGCTTAAGTTCTTGAGGTATGGCCAAATACTCAAAAGGGCAGATTAACATATACTTCTGAACCTTCTCATAACTTAACTTTTGGAACCATATTTTCCTGATTCCTGCTACCATTTCTTTGAGGGAAAAATTATATTTGCTTAACCATCACATTAAGCAATGCTTAATGTGAGTCACCATGAGAATACTATTATGTCTCTTAGACTAATCAAAGATACCATTCGAAATTATGGAGGAGTGTTGAAGATCACCCCAACACTATTGAGGGCAGGAAAAGAATCTCACAAATCATATCAAGAATATATTAGCAAAATGATCATAATTAATTTGTTTTTTCTCTAACTTCTAATATAAATTACTGCTTTGAAATCTAATAATATCACACAATAGTTTTTCTTAATAAGGTAAGGTGAAGGGTAATAATAAAGTTTTGATTAAGAAGGTAAAAATTAAATAAAAATCAAATAAAAAAGTTTTCTATTTTGGAGAGGAAGGTTCTTGTTTTAAAAAATTACTATAGAATTGATATAGAATTTTAATTTATGGTAATAATTTTAATTAAAGGTATGCAGATTATTTGTTCTGATTTTTCGAACTATTTTTTTTAATACTTTTATTGTTTATATAAACATCGCAGAGGATGAGAAAGGGAATTGTTTACAGTATATGTAACTTTAGTTAGCAATATTTTTGTCATGATTTCCTTTAATTGTATCTGATATTAAATTTTGGAAACTTTGCTGTGTACTTTAATAGCACATATAAGTATCAGAGATATGAGAATTTAAATTGTTTAAAGTATATACAATTTAAGACAGTATTATTTTTGCTAATATTTAAGTTGATACAGTTTTTATATGGTATATTTTTCATAAATGATTAAATCATTTTCTGTATACCTAATCTGATAAGGATAGGAAAGAAATGAAATTGTGAATTTTTTTAATATATATATCGCTTTTAATAATTTTAAGTTAGTAAAGTTTTAGTCAAATATTCCTTAATTTTTTATTTGGCGTTGCATTTTAATTTACGAATTGCTTTGGATTTAATAAAGTATATTTAATTTTTCCAAGTTTGTGTTAATTTATTTTTTTCTCTTGATTTATTCTCACTTTTGCCTGTTCCTGAATTATGCATTTAATTTTTGATAGGTAATATGTAAAGTTGAAATTTCATTTTTACACTTTAGAGATTTCATTTTTGACTTAATAAATTTCAGAGCTTTATTTTATGGCTTGCAATTATTTATGATATGTATGGATGAATAAGAATCACTGTTATCTTCTGTTACATAATAAACTACCGTGTGATCTGTTTTTATCCTAGCAAAATCATATATATTACCCCTAAAATTTAAATTTTTTGAAAAAAGTTCCTAAAATTACCCTAAAATTTTAAAAAACTTTGCTGCTACCCCTGGACTCCATTTTTTTTTTCGGTGATGCTAAAAAGTGTTGACAGAGAAATATTATATGATGATTATAAGGCGTGATATAAATATTCAACTATATCAAATAAGATATAATTATTAAAGTGTAGAATTTATTTCATTTTTATTAAGGCTTTACAAAGATTCTTTAATATTGGTTTGAGTGATCTAACTTTATTGTAACTTTTAGTGTTTGACTATGGTCAGTGGCATATACTGGAACCTGTTATGTTGGTAGAAGTAGCCGTACCTTCTGAATTTCAAGGATCTGTCATCACACAACTCAGTAAAAGGGGTGGAATTGTCATTTCTATGGATGCAGAAGGTGATTGGGCTATTGTCACAGCTGAGGTATGGTGTCTTAGATAAATAGCACTCATTCTTTTTAACTTAAAATGCAGGTTATTTCCCAAATTTACTGATTTTTTTAAGATTATATTAATAAATTATAATACATAAATAGCTGCCATCTCTTAAAGAAGATTTTCTCTTTTTTACATACGTTTATTTAAAGTAGTAACAATATATATATATATATATA